CTATTCTTAGTGCTCCCCAAATAAATAAGAAAAATAAGAAAGTAAGGTTCACAGAGAGAAACTATGCTCAAGGAAAGTCATACTGGGTGGTATACAGTGGAGCCCAAATTTTAACTTAGGGCCTCCATTTCTGTACTGTTATATGTAACTGTTATGTTATATTGCCTCTTGTATTGAGAGCCACAAAGCTTCTCTAGTCCACTTATGATATAGATGGGAAGGTGAGGGTAATTTAAATAAATTCTTACTATTTATTTAAATGGGCTAACAATAGAAAAAACACTGGACTAGATCTTCTTGGCCTTTTATTTGGTCTCCAACAGTTCATGTTCTCCTCCCCTTGAAGTTCAAACTACTTGTTATTTTTTCTGCTTAAAAATTTTCCATGACTTTCACTTGCATTCTCTGCTTTTTCCTTCTTCAGTTACTTTGTGTTTCATTATCTCCTTGCTCTCCCAGGACCCCAATCCTGAATGCCTTTTCCCTTCTCAGTGTCTTTATATACATAGTTCTTTCTTCCAAAAATGTCTTCTTCCACTTTTGCTACTTGGTGAATGCTTTAGAACACAACTTAGCTATCATTTGAGGCTTCCTGGTACCTTATGAAGGATTTATCCCCCTTAAGACACTCAGATCCCTTCTACCTACTCTCTGGCATTTATCATTGTATGAAAAATAATAATGTCTTTTTCCTGTGCTAGACTAAGCTCTGTAGGGGGACAGTGAATGTCAGTTTCTTCATTTAAAAATAAATTTCATTGCTGAGCACTTTTAAAAACAGTGTATAGATTATAGTAGTATTTCTGTGAAATTGGGCAAATGATTTAACTTTCCTGAATAGGGTTTTTATTCTGAAAATCAGGATATTAATTTTTGTTCTCCCCAAATCACAATGCTATTATGAAGATCTAAAAAGATAGTACATGTGAGTGCTTTAAATATGTCTTAATCTGTTACATTATGTGGAATATTATTGTGATAACTTAAAAGTATCTCATGTTTAGCTTAGATTTTGCAATAAAATCTGAAGACACTTGT